GACACACACACACACATACCTGATGTTAAAGTTTCAGAAGTTTTCAGAATCTGAGTTTGAATTTTTTTCTTCTGCCTGATTTCATGTTTTGTTATTTTCGTCCTTAAAATGCCAAAATTTCCACCTAAATTTAATTTTTTCTCCTTCTGATGATAAATATTATATGATTGATAATTTGATCAGGTTCTCAGTACTTGAAGAAAAACTTTTTCACTCTTACATGATTAATTTCCTGGACGGACAAGTTTTACTTTTACTGAGTAAAAACATGTTGAAGTGTAGTTTTGGCTTTTCTGTTCACTTTTGTCCATCTGAGTTTATTTAGTTTGATTTGGTTGTTTTCAGAGGTGGGCAGAGTGGCCAAGTCAAAGTAAAAATCTATTCAGGTACTGAGTATCTGATCCAATTAGATGGATTGTAGCTAATTACTTAACCTCCGGTTGTTTCCTGTTGCACTAATTGAGAAACTTTAACATTTTTTAGAAAAATATTATCATTATTTCCCAGATTTGATCAAATCAGCAGCAGCAGCTGCAGAAACGTCTGATTTCAGTTTGGTTAAAGATCATTTTACTCTAAAACTGAGAAAAGAAACATTTTCTGGTTGAAGACGATCATCAATCATTAACTGGAAATAAACAGATTTCCTCTGCAGCAGACAGAAACACCTGGTTTTATTGATACTGAGCATCAGTAAATCATTTATCAATAATCTCATTGTTTTCATCTGCTGCATATTTACAGTGATTAGTGATTGTTTATCTGTCAGGTGGAAACTTTAACTCCAGATTGGAAGCAGATCTTAAAACGATAAATTTGATCCAATCTGATGTTTTCAGTAACTGATCAGTGATCAATTCATTAATAGTGGTGGAGATATTAGATATTACAGTTTAATATACAGTTATGATCCAGTTCAGCTCAGTATGTGTCCAGTTTCTGTCTTCATTTCTGTGTTGAGCTTCTTACTGATCGTGTTTCTGCGCTGCAGGTCGAACAGCATCGACCTCCTGCACAGCAAGCGGGACTCGGCCTACTCCTCCTTCTCCACCAGCTCCAGTATTCCCGAGTACCTGGCCTCCACGCCCTCCTTCGGCCCGGAGCGCTCCTGCTCCCTGGACGCCGTCCCGCAGAGAGGCGCCGGCAGCGCCGAGATGCTGCAGGCCGACATCCGATACGTCCGCGCCGTCTACGACGCCCAGCAGGGCCTGACTCAGGAGCAGGAGCTGAACTCGTCCAGAACCGGGCCCAGGTCCGGGCCAAGAGACCTCCAGGGTATGATGCCTGACCCCAAAGAGGCTCTCTGACCCCAAAGAGGCTGACTGAGCCCAAAGAGGCTCTCTGACCCCAAAGAGGCTGACTGAGCCCAAAGAGGCTCTCTGACCCCAAAGAGGCTGACTGAGCCCAAAGAGGCTCTCTGACCCCAAAGAGGCTCTCTGACCCCAGAAACCTCCTGAAATCAACCTTCTGCTTTTACTTGTGCTGGGAATCAGAAGTCACTGTTTGTGTTATTAATTAATTGGCATAATTTCCAATATCTATGGAATCACTGATCAACATCAAGAAAACTGTCAGGAAATGAATTTATCATCTCAAGAAAATGGAAAATTATCTCGTTGTTTAGAGGAATTTAACTTGGAAACATGCATTCCTCAGTACGTTCTGACACAAGTTAGATTTAAAGCTCATGTGTTTATATTGCTACTATGTAATTATGGATATTTAGCCCTTATATCCATGGTGATGCTGGTGTGAATTACACCAGAAGGGGGCAGCATTGCGCTAAGTCAGCCTGCAGTCTGCCAGATATTATCCATAGAAGAAGAAGCGATTGAATCATTCGTATCTGGAAGACAGAAAAGTAACGTTGGAATTTTAAAGCCATTTATTTTCAGTCAGAAAGTTGTTTGAGCCTCATATAAACCTTCTGTGTTTACATGGCGTCTTGCTATGAATGCTGGGAGATGCAGTCCTAGAGTCTGCTGATGACCTTTATCCCATATCTCTGTTGATGCTGCAGGCTCAGTGGGCGGGGTCTGTTACCGCGGCGCTAACGGCAGCAGAGGCGGCGGCGTCCCGGCGTCGAACAGGCACAGCGTGGGGCCCATCTGGGGCCAGGCGGCCAGTCGCAGCTCCTACGAGAGCCTGAAGGGGGCGCCCGCTCCGCCAAGGCGCAGCGACAGCTACGCCGTCATCAGGAACCACGAGAGGCCAAACTCCTGGTCCAGTCTGGACCACGCCCGGTCGCTACGGTGAGTACGGTCCGGTGAGCATCGTGTTTTATTCTGAGGTCATAAAATCTGATTTTATCTGTGGTTTTATCATGCAGGTCTCTGCAGAGCAGCTCATTGCATCACTCCAGCGGTCCGGTGGCCTCAGGTAACCGACCAGATCGACACTCAGAGAGGTTCTGGTGGTCCAGGCTTTCTAAAGCCTGGACCACCAGGCTTTAGACCCGGTGGTCAGATCGGGTCTAGACCGGTTTACTCTGAGAGGCACAAACTGGAGCATGGTGGCACAGGAAACTACCATTTCATCTAAATGCAGTGCTTTGTTACAACGAACAACAGACCAACAAGCTAAACATATGGATCTGTTTAACATGTAAAACTATGCAGTATATTACACACAATGGTTTCCCCTGGTGTATTATAAGCCTGGAGGGCTGCCAGGCTTTACTTGCCTTAATTGTTTTTTTATACACTAGTAAAAATGTACTACATGCGTCTTTTCTGCGCTCTGCTCCGTTGTGCACTTCATCGACGGAGTTCAGTTGTTTCTAAAAGTTGGTGTAAGGTTCCTTTATTTGAGACAGACAGGAAACTGGATGATGAGAGAGAGAAAAGCGGCAAAGGTCATCAGGCCTGGAGCCTGTGACCCTTGTGTCAAGGACTAAGGACCAAGGTCTCTTTATCCCTGAGCCACCGCGGGGCGGCCAGTCGCATTTCTTACGAAAGCTCGTTATGTACAAGTTTACAGCTGAGCAGATAAACTAAACACCTCCAGGGTTCGAGGTCATTAATCACACGGTTGGCAGAATCATGTGTGTGGAGTTGGGTAGTAATTAAAGTTTCATAACTTTTTTTATGGAAAGAAACTAATTTGGAAATATTTTCTTTTGCCTGATTTTGCTTTTTTTTGTTACTTGTATGAATTATTGTCATTTTGGTCCTTAAAATACCAAAATTTCCACTTATCTTTATATTTTGGTCGGTCTGATGATGTAATTTTTAAATATTAAGTGATTGATATTCGATCAGTTACTCAGTACTTGACTTTTTACCAAATACGTTTTTACTGGAGTAACTTCAGAGAAGTGACCGACCCTCGTGTCTCCGTCTGGTTCAGCGAAAGCGTCGTTTGGCGCTGAGGGTCAGCTCCACACCGTGATGGAGAAGAGTCCGGAGAGCAGTCCCACCACGAAGCCCAGGCAGGGCGCCGGCTTCTCCCAGCCCCCGTCCCCGACCGGGCCCAGCTCCCCGCCCAGCCGCCTCATTCTGCCTGCCGGCGTTTACCCGGTTCCCCAGCCAGAGCCTCAGTACGCGCAGACGCCCAGCGCCGGTCCCGGTCCGTCTGGAGTCTTCACGGCTCTGACCAAGGAGAGCAGCCGGCAGCCGGCGCTCCGGGACGATCGGACCACAGAAAACGGCCACCAAGGCATCGGCTCCTCACCGTATTCCCGCTCCTCGTACTCCGGACCTGGATCCTCACAGCTCAGGTCCAGACTGCCTGAGGCGGACAGGTGACCTTCGACCTCATGTAGCGACTCGTTTCCTGGTTTTGGACGTTTCTGCTCCTATTAACGAACCTTGTGTTTGCAGTTGGCACCAGCAACCAGAGTCGAACTCTGAAACCCATAAACCGCACCTGAAAACCCCTGGAGCCGGATCCGAGGGTCCGACTGGACCCCACAAGCCTTACAGGAACCTCAGCCAGAACCTCGACGATCCACTTCTGAAAGGACAGCAAGAGCAGAACCACAGGATTACTCCGGTCCATTCGGTCCCAGACCTCAGAACGGCGTCCTCACAGGGGAGGAGCGAGTCCAGAGACAACACCCGGTACTGCTGCTCCTTTCTGTAAACCACAGGGGCCCAAAGTAAGGCCCGCGGGCCGCTGGTGGTCCTCGGACTGATTCTGTGTGGCCCTCAACTGCAATTCAGAAATCTGCTAATTTGTCCCATAAATACAGAAAGAGAGTTTTAATTTGTAATCAGGGTAAAAATTGTTACCAACATGATTTTCTCACACAGGAAAATATAAAATATAACACAAAGTATTTTATATTTTAAAACAAAGTTTTAACAAAAGGTGAAACCAAGTTTATCCAGAGACTTTTCCTTTGCTGCACCCAAATCAGCTTTTATTCTTTTTAAACCTTGACTCGAAAGAATTTGGCGTTTTGAATCAAAGTCACCAAATGCTGATCTTAGTACTGAAAATAAATTTATTCAACCAAACCTAAAAGAAACTGAAAACTAGACGCTTTTCTTTTAATGCAGCAAATGTGTAAAATGTGCTTGAAAATAGTAGAACATTTCTACCAAATAACTCTAAATCTTAGAAATTTGCAAGAAAAAAAATCTAATTTTTAGATTAATATCAGAAATTTTCAACAAAGACAACTTGGAAATCTTTTCCTTTAAAATGTCAAACATCTTCTTGAGAATTTCTGAAATTAATCACAAAATTCTTGGCAGGAATGTGCTTCTTTAGTACCGACAACGGCCCTAAAACAGTCGTTAAAATCCCTTTTAAGTTCTGGATCTACAATAAAGATCAGGCGAGTTTTTCTTTGACCCACATGGTGAAGGTTTGGACACCAGCCGTTGATTCTGATGTTGTTCGTCTCCTTAGACCCAGAGAGCCGCCCACCGTTCCGTCAGAACCAGCCGGGTCGTCCCGGGTCGCCCAGGGTCAGGTGCCGCCGCATCCATCCGCCCAGTGGAGCCACAGAGACCCAGACAGCGATCACCCTCTGACCCGCCTGGAGATCGCCCTCGCCGAGGTCCAGCGCTGCGCCGTCCCCGACGGCCCAGACGGCGGCCAGAGCCCGGCCCGCAGCCTGTCGGTTCTGGAGAAAGTCAGTCACTTTGAGCGGCGGAGAGACGGAGGGAAGCAGCGCAGCTTCAGCACCAACTCCTACTGCAAATCCTCCCACCTGGGGGTAAAACCCAAACACTCCCCACCTTCCTGCTCTGCAGACTCTGTTTCTGAAGCTTTTCATTTTCTGGTCCAGGTGACAGATAAAGGTCGCAGCTCCCCCTGTGGAGCGGAAGACCTCAGAAATATGCTGGAAAGGAGCACGAAAGGGACCAAAACCCACAGGACGATGAGCTACAGAGGAGGTGGCAATGAGTACATGAAACACAGGTACGGAAGCCTGGATGGACACAAAGGAGCCGGGCTGCTTTTAACCAATCAGCAACAAGGAAAATAAATGGTCTTTTTGATTGGCTGCTTTCAAGTTCCCCTGGTAAAGGCGACCAAAACACCTACTCTGACAGATCATCAGTACAGCAGGTAGATTAGCATTAGCCAATCTACCACCGCTGTGTTAGCTTAGCTAATAGCAGCAGTAGCTAATCTACCTCAGAGAAATAAACATCAAGCCTAAAAACTGTAAAATACTGTAACGGACTGAATGATCTGTTATTTGTGTGGAAAATGTTTGACTGTTTTTCGGTGTTGAATCCTGAAACATAAAGTGGCGTGGCTGTCAGTTGCTATGGCAACGGATCTGCATGTAGCTTAGCTGACACAGAGTGGAAAAAAGTGAATTTGTGTTATTATTTGACGGGTTTTTCTGTGTTATTTTTCCCTCTGCTGATTTGCGGTGCAATAAATTATTAATCCCAACATCTGAAGGTTTCATTAACGGTTACGGACGGCGAGTAAAACAACCGTCTTTTTGCCCTGCGGTGTTGTGCGCATGCGTTAAATTCCTGGATGTAAATTTAACTACATCCAGCAAGTCAAGTCTCTAACTGATAAATAATTTGTGTTTGGTCTCCAGGCTTCCGGCCGATCCCGTCTCCGCGCTCCAGAGAAGCCGCAGCAGCTTCCAGCTGGACGGATCAAAGGACGGAGACGTCAACAGGAACTTTCCTTATCGACCTGAACCCCAGGAGGCAGCTGACCCCCTGCAGGACAGGTCAGAGCTCTCCCAGAGGTCATTCCTCCAACATGTCCGCTCCTGTCCTGATGTTTGGTGCGTCTCCAATCAGGTCTTACAGGGACTCTGTGAAGGACGCCCAGCCCAACGTCCTTCGCTCCGCTTCATTCAGACAGAGAGACCTCAGCTCTCCGCCTCCTGTCGTCTCCGGTCCTCAGCCGTTCCCCAACCCTGCTAAGTACAACTCACTGGAGAAAAAAGGCCCCAAAACGAAGCCCAAACCGCAGGGCATCGTCATGCCGCCAGTCACTTCCCCTCACACCCCGAAGGAGAGGCATGCGGTCAGCCCTGATAACGGAGGCCAGAGCCCGCCGCCGCTGCCCAGCGTCCCTCCGGTCGGGCCGCCGGCTCTGACCAGGATCTGCGGCCGCAAGCGTCTGACGGCCGACCAGAAGAAACGTTCGTACTCCGAACCAGAGAACATGAACGAAGTGGGAGTTTCTGACCCAGAAACAGCTGCCCTCTTCCGACGAGGAGGAGGTAAAAGCATCTCAGTCAAACCCGTAACGCAGCGTTTCCTCAGTGGGAGCAATGCTACCTAAGAGGCTGAGCTTGCTAAAGCTAAAGCGCTAGTCATTAACAGGAATCCAGCTAAGACTAAAGCACTACACCAACATGGTATTTAGCCGAAGCTAAAGCGCTAAGTATAACCAGGCTGATGCCCCATGTGTCTATGACACATCATAATATTTATTCAGTTGAAATTTTACTAAACAGGTAAAGATTAATTTAGGGGAATCGTTTACAAACTTAGCAAAAACGCTGGAAGCAGATTAACATATTAGTGGAAGTACAGCTACATGTGGTTTTACTGTTCCTTGTCTAATCCCTGCTGTTCTTCCAGAAACTAGCGTAGCTGACCGTCGGAAGATGTTTGAGCTAGCAGCAAGCCACGTTGGCGCCGGCGTGTCGAGGTCTGACCTGCGGCAGCTCCGCCAAGACGCTCTGGTTGAGTACATGGAGAGGAAGCGAGGGATGAGGAGGGACGAGGCAGGGCAAAGGACTGGATCAAGACCTCGCAGCGCTTATTTCCACCCTGAACAGGGCTACCACACAGGTCAGTGCAGCTCAGGGGCGTCCAGTCTGGGTCTGAATGACATGACAGAGACCTGATGGCATTTTTGGCTTCTCCTGTTGGACAGACACCTACAGCCTCTCGTCCACCTCCAGCATGCTTTCCCTTCAGGACCCTGGTCCGGATCAGGGCGTCCCTGCTCTTGGTTCTGACCGTTGGAGCCTCCAGTCCAACCTTTTCTACCCGGGCAGGGTGACCACACCCAGACCTCCAGCTCAGCCAATCCCTGGGTAACCAATCTCTGAAGCAGTCCATCATCATTCAACATCAGTGGATCTTTAACCTTTTAACTCATTTCATGGTTTGTCTTCTTCTAGCTCCAGTCTTGATCTTCATACCCAAATCAGCCAAGATCTGAACCCTGAAGCCCAAATCAACAGACACAGTCAGTCCGGAACCAGAGACTCAAACAGAAGCCAAGACCGGCAGATCGCTGAGCCTCAGTACAAACCCGGACTCTCTACGAAGGTCAACGAGGCGTTGCAGAGGGTCGGGTCGGTCCACAGGTCCGGGAGGTCGGCCTCTGCTGAGGATCTGCTGGAGCGTTTGGAAAACAAATACTCACCTCAACACATTCGCTCTCGCTCGTCCCCGACCGCAGACAAACTCAGCCAGGTAATCCTGAACTTCGAAAGCGATTGGACCAAGGCTGTTCCTTCAGTCAGTAAACTGACAGACCTTTGTGTGTTTCAGAACTTAATTTCAGGAGACATCAAGAGTTTCGACGTCTCCTTCTCTGAATCTGGACGATGTGCTCTGGCTGCAGATCGGTACGGCTAACTCAAACCGCAGTTCAAAATGTCTTCTTAGGGCTCCCACATACTCAGGCGTACAATACGTATTCTGTTAGCCACTGGTACTCTACACGCAGTGTCAGCAGACAGTTGAGATTTCATAGTCAAGCATGCCGACTGTCTTCATTTTCACTATCTGAGTGGATGCTAGTGAGTTTGATGAGCTAGTTGGGCTGGTAGGTTCACATAGATGAAAAAAATGTTTGAAAATGTAACTAGATACATACTAGTCAGATTCCTGTTGGAATGATTTTATATTTATAGACTTAATTTTACATTAAGTTTTTATTTTTTACTTATTTGTCTCTTTGTGTCTCTCAGACCTGCAGACATTCATGGATCAGCAGAGTTCAGTTCTCAGTCAAACCGGTTCAATGAGAACTCTGACCGACCGACGGCATCTCCACAAGGTGAGACATCCAACCGACCATCCAACCGAACATCCAACCGACCAAATGACCAACCGAACGACTGACCGATCATCCAACCAATCATCCATCCATTCATCCATCCATCCATCCATCCATCCATTCATCCATCCATCCATCCATCCATTCATCCATCCATCCATCCAACCATCCATCCATCCATCCATTCATCCATCCATCCATCCATCCTTCCATATTGGAGTTTAGATCCGACTGGATTCATTTTCTCATCTTTATTTATAAAAAGCCTTGTAGAAATCTTCAGTCCCAACATTATTTAGTGTTTTGCTGAATATTCTTTGTTCTCATTTGTGCGTTTTTCTTTTTTTTTTCTAAATTATCTTTCTTTTCCTTCCTCTGGTCCTAGACGTCTCTCACACCCCCGTCAGTCGTCGGGAGCGCCAGAGGAACGGCGAACGTCTCCGGGCCTACAGCACCTCCACCTTGGCGGCCTCCGTCGGCCTTCCCTCGCCCTTCTCCTCTCCCGGGAACCAGCAGGACGGCGGCGCCGCGGAGTGGACATCCGGCAAGAGGCTGAGCCAGGCCAACCTGGACGCCATCACCTTCCCGGGAATCCCACAGACCGGCGGCAGACAGACGAGACGCAGCCTGAGCGACGGAACCGCAGAGGACGAACACCGAGGCAGAACCTTAAGCTTGGAGCTGACTGGAGAGATTTCTGAAAATACCAAACCAGTTTCACCAGTCACATCAGCACCGCCGCCATGCAGGAAGACCAGTGGGAGCTCCACTTCCTCCCATCAGTCCGTCCATCCACACCTGTCCTCTCTGAGGATCTCTGAATCCAGCCTCTTCGAGCAGCAGCCGCTGCAGACGTCAACAGGAAACCTTCAGGAGTTTGACGACGTCTTCCTCACCAACCCTCCTCTTCCTCCTCCTCCTCCTCTCACTCCACCGATTAAAGAGACGAACATCATGGAGGACTTCCCTCCTCTTCCTCCTCCACCACCTCCAGCTGAGATGGAAGCAGATCTTCAGCCGTTACAAAGGTTCGTTTCCAACCTTCCTGAATTCAGGTTCATCATTAAAACATCACAGTTCCTGATTGTTTCTCTGTTTTTTAGCTCCAATCCAGAAACTTTAAACAACTCGGTTCCCATCCGGACGTCTTCGGCTCAGTCCGCTCCTCCACTAAAGCCGTCCAACTCAACCGAGGACGTCTTCGTCTTCCAGTACCAGCCGCTTCCCAGGAGGGAGAAGTCACCCGAGGAGCTGAGGGTGGAGGCGCTGACTCAGCAAGTGGTTCGTAGTTCGACTCCAGGCCAGACAAACTATATCAGAAAAGATAAAAACAACGACGATAGGTCATCTCTGCACAAACGATGAGTTTCCATGTTGAGGTCGAGACTTTAAGACCCAAAACCAGTTTGGACGCTTGATTGGGAACCGATTCCAACTGGAACCTCTAACTGTCGCTGTTGGTTTGTGGTGATGAAGAATTTGAAATAGTTTTTTCTTCTTCTTTCTTCCACCCCCAGCATTGACAGCTTGACAGTTTCTTGGATTTAAAAGTCTTACCTCGACTCCTCTGAACATTTTTCCTGTCATTGTGACCAAACAGTTTGACCTTTGACCTAAAACTCGTCCATGTTTGGCTCCAGACCTTCATTGTTGGTCTTCACTCTGGATGGATGGTGGTTTTCCAGCTCAGGCTTGAGCCCTGCAGGTTTCTGGGTTGTTCCTGATAGTCTTACTCTTTAAGAGCCACAGTTTGACTCAGATGGTTTAAATGTGGTCATAAATGATCCAACAGAACTTTAACTCTGTGTTGGTATCTATACGCACCGAACATTACGGCTCTGGATGGACAGAGCTAGCTTAGTAGCAGCTAGCATACGTCATCTACCAGGATCCATCACACCAAACAACATAGCTTAGCATTATTTAAATTATAAAAACCAAACAGCCTGCAGTACTTTTATAGTTCTGTTTTCATAAATGAATGTTTCACAAATAAAGTCTGATGTTACAACAAATCATGGATCCTTATGAACTTCAGAAATGGGGTCAAAGTTGAGTCAATGCCAAACAAATCCTGCCTGTTGATGTGAATAAAACTGTTGATTTCAGAAAAACTTAAACCACATTGTGTTTTTCTGCTATGACCCAAAATAATCATAAGATTCAAAATGTTTTTAACCACATTAATAATAAAACAAAACGTCAAAATGGGGCCTATAAAAACTATTCACCCCCTTGGATGTTTTACCCTTTTATTACTTTTACAAATCAGTCATGATCAACAAAATGTGATATTAAAGTTTTACAGAAAAACTCTTTAATGCCAAAATAAAAACTGATTTCTACAAAATAATGATTATTTTAAAAAATATGTAAGAAGAAATAAGTGATTGCATAAATATTCTCCCCCTTTAAAGTGAACTAATTCAACAAAGGTCCAGCTAATTGGCGCTAGTCGTCTCAGAATGAGTGGAAGAGTGATTACAGTTTAAAGTATAAGCCAGGGGATGGATACAAAAAAAATCTCTTAGGCCCTGAATATGTGACAGTCACTGAATGTAAATCATCTACTTCTGGTGTTCAGGTGCTGCAGGATCCCTCTCTGGCGCCCCTGCTGGACACCTGGGGAGGCGAATGCACCATGAAGCTGATGGAGGAAATCTTTTCCAACGGCAGCCTGACTGGGGAAGCACCGGGGAGTTCACTTCCGGGTCAAAGGTAACCTTCACACGCTTGCGTTCTGAATATTACCTGAACTACTCCTTCAATCCTCCTTAATGAATCATTAACTGAGTAATAAAAAATAAATTTATATTATATAACTCTGATAAAGTGGTAAAGATGTAAACGTTTTAAACAGAGGGTTTAAATTTGACTTTCAAAATAAAGCTAATGTATATATGTCAAGAGCTTAAACATTTAATTTCAAAATAAAGCTAATATTACACTCAAAACTAATATTTGATGAGTAAAAATAATGTCAAAATAAAGTGTATTTTTAACAGGTTAAACATTTGCAACAGAGGTTTTAATTTGGACTTTCAAAATAAAGCTAATATTAGTCTTTAAACTCAAACTTAAAACTGTTGATAATCTTCAAAATAAAAGATGAAACAGTAAAAAAGACTTTTTAACCTGGACTTTCAAAATAAAACTAATGGATGTACTTTAAGCTAAGAATTAAAATATGTTAAAAAAAATATGCAATTTTTACTATAAAATAAAGGTAAAATGATCTTAAACAAGTTAAAGAAATGGTTTAATTTGGACTTTCAAAACAAAACTATCAGTTACTGAGAGTTTAGTTCTGTCAGGTTATTTTGTTACTAAAGTTGGATCTAAATTTAGTTTTGGAAAAGGAAACATTTATCTCTCAAACTGCTGACAGGTTCTGGTCTTATCAGCTGGTGAAGAAGCAGAAGGAGAACAATATGGACGCCTGAAGGGTCTGAGACGTGAAGTTTGTTTTGAATGAACTTGGTGTTCGGAGAAGGAATGTCCTCTCATCGGAAACAATAACAATCAGGACGCAGAGGCTCACATTTTCATTTACTGCTCCCAAATCAGAGGCTAAAGGAGATAAAACCTGGTCTCAGAGTTTCAGCAGCGGTTCTGTCGGTGCAGCTTGAGGGGCTTCAGTGACGACGCTCCGCGGGCGACGAGGTGACCTGGAGGTCACCGCCTGTTTGTCTGGGTGGCATCAGCAGGAAAGACCAGAAAAACCTGATCATCGTTTCCCAGCAGCTGAATATCCACCTTAAAACCAAACTCTGGGTTTCCTTAAGCATGTTCATGCTCAGTGATGCAGTTTGACCTGGACATGACCTCAGATCAGCGCTAAAAACTCAGTTTGTTTGTTTTAACAGCGAGTTCAAACGGAGGACTGGTCAACACTGACACCTAGCGGCCACACGGGAGAACTGCACATGCTTTATCCATATTATTATATTCCAAACAAACAAATGCCTCCATAATTATATAATCAACAAATAAATAAATAAAATGCACATCTATAACATAAAGTACAGTAGTGAGAAAAAAATTTATGATTTATTTTTTTATGTTTGTAAATGTTTCAAACTAATTTAAATATAAGACAAAGAAACACAAAGAAACAGAAAATGAAATGTTTAAATTAATGTGTTTATTATGACAGGAAACAAATCCTAATATTATGTTTTCCACATAATAAGTTAAAGTTTTATTCTTAATTGTGACCTGTAATTTTTAAAATTTGTATTTTAAAAAAATAGTAAAACATTTTTGGGGCTTTTTATTAATTGTTTGTATTAAAACATTTTTTAAATAATACATTATTTATGAGAGATTTTTAATTATTTTTTTTATTTCAAGTTATATATATATATTTATCTTCAGAGGTAAAAATCTAGAATTTATTATCAAATAAAATATCATAAATAAATATTATTTAGCAGAAAATAACCTGCAGTTGTGTGGAAACAGAAAATAAAAATTTCTCTCTTTTTTATGCATATATCCAGATTATTTTCTGGATTATTGATGTTTATTTCTCTCCTCCAGGATCCAGGCCGTCTGTGATCAGAGTTCAGACCAAACGAAGGAGACGGATGTTGATGAGGACGAGAACGATGTCACCACCAGGAAGGTAAACAACTGTCCAGCAACAGCAGCTGAAGTATAAATAATCCTCTGGAGAAGAAGAAGAAAAGTTATTTTAATTAATTATCAGGAACCAACAGGAAAACTCAACTGCAGTAGCTTCAGTTCAACCCACAGAGGGCAGCAGTGAGATGAGTTTAGGCCAAAAATGGCAGAATTACCATGAAATTTTATTCAAAAATATCAAAAATATAAAGATACAATCCTCAACACACAGTTTAGACAGTTTATCTGCAAAAAAGTAGATTTAGGGTTTAGTTACCCTTTAAAAATTAACAACAGGACAATCGGAAAAAGACCAAACATCCATGAGAGATGCAGATATAGTGACGTGGTTGTTAAAAATTTGAGACAGTATGAAAATAAATGAACATAAAAGTATTGATTAAAATCACAAAGAAATAAAATAAACCTATAAATTATGAAACATTTAGAATTAAAGGTAAAGACAGAAGTTAGTTTAAAATAATCTAAAAATCTTGTTAACTGATTCTGATTATTAATATTTATTGAAGGGAAATTTTATTTGCAGTAAATTTATTTTAAGGTTTTGGCTGTGTGGTTTTTATTTCAATTTTAATTTAGATATTTCAAATATCTTCCACTTCCAGAGTTAAAAGTTGTTTAAAAAAATCTGTTTGTTAATATTTGAAGGAGTAAACCTGAATTATTACCCTGTTATCACTGAAGTAGTTGAAAATGGTCTCAAAAACAACAATATTGACATTTTTGCAATAATTACTGGGATAATTTATCATATAAAACTTTATTATCATGACAATTTTAACAGCCACCAACCTGAGGAAGATGGAGAGTTCAAAGGTCAAATCAGCTAATCAGGACCAAGCTTTAAAAAACAATCTGAAAATATATGATTTAAACACCAAGAGCTGAACAAACCACAGGGTGCACTTACTTTTCCCTTCTAATTCAGAAAACTCGTGTTTCTCTACATCTCAGACTGATGGATGGAGTCATTTCCTCCACGTCTGACAGCAGAAATCGGCTGTTTTTATTTAAAACGAGGTGATGTTTGTCCTCCTGTCCACCAGGGGGAGCTGTGTGAGGCCCTGCGGCTCTGCGTGGCGGCGATGCAGCGGGAGAAGGCGGCTCTGGCTGAGGAGCAGCGGCGCCACCAGGCTGCGGGCGCCGGCATGGAGGCGCTGATCCAGCAGCTGAAAGCCAACGAGAAGGAGAAGTACAGCATGTTCATAGGTAGGCAGCCAGCAGGGCGAGGTCAAAGGTCACAGCGGGGTCCCACCATCGGCTGATCGTCTCTGTCTGCAGGAGACCTGGAGAGGATCGTCAACCTGCTGCTGTCTCTGTGCAGCCGCCTGTCCAGGGTGGACAAGTCTCTGCTGTCTCTGGACAGAGACGGAGGTTTGACTGAAGACGCTGCTGAAGAGAGGGTGAGACATACGGCAAGCTGTCCACGCATAATGTTTGACTGACCGCTCACAACTCAAGTACTCAGCCAAACTCCAGCATGAGCTAACAGATATTTTCTGCTGCTCCTCTTCCTCAGGACTCCCTTCATCACAAGCGTTCGCTGCTCCTTCGTCAAACCGAAGACGCGCGGGAGCTGAAGGAGAACCTGGACCGGCGGCAGCGCGTGGTCACCGCCATCCTGACCGGCTACCTCACCGAAGCACAACTCCACGACTACCGCCGCTTCGTCAGCGCCAAACCCTCGCTCCTGATTCGCCAGCGCCAGCTCGATGACCTCATCCGGCAGCGGGAGGAGCAGCTGGCGCGACTCGCCGAGAGCCTGCCGCCAAGCCCCGCCCACTCCGTCAGGTCCACTGCTGTGACATCACTGTGACGCCACGAGATAGATCCACACGTCGATATCTAGATTTCTATCCGACTGTCCTTAAACAACCCAAACGGTGCTTTCAGGGACCTGAACAGGTCCGTTTGTTCTGAGGACCGGACCGAACGAGCAGAGGTCCAAAGACAGAACTGAGTCATCTGCAAAGAGTCGAACTTTCAGCCTCGTTTTCCAGCAAAGGCGTCCATGAAACCGCGCTCTGCTCCCGCACATGTACAGCCAGAAACACAGACGGCTCCAAAAGCCAAAGGACCGAGGCGTTTCCCACAAACCTCACAGCACATTCTCCCCAGGAGGAGCGTCCAACAGCAGCACCGTGACACGGCCACCGCTCTTTGAACGCAGCTAATCGCACTTTGTAGCAGCCTGACCACTTCATGGCTGAGCGCTCACAAACCGGCAGGAAAACCAGGAAGAAACGAAACCTGCCAACTTTTTATCATCCACCGTCACTCTGGCATGTTTTATACGTTTTACAGCCATTATCATCACCTCCAAGAGCAAATTCTGGTCCGTTCTGAAGAAAGTAAAACAAGAAGAATTATAAAACGGTTCCCAAAGATATTTAATTTTGTACAACGGGAAACCCTGAACACAGAAGGATCTTCACCTCCAGGAGGGTTTTTTCCACGATCCGGAAAATCTCAGAGAAAACCAGCAGAAAACCAGACTGACTTGTTGAAACTCCTCCGTTTTCATCCAGCTGTGAAAAGAGTTTCAGAAACACGACTCCGTATTTAATCTCCGCCTGAAGTTTTTGTTCAATAAAAGCACTTTTTCAGCTCACCCTGTTTCTGTTTCAGTTATTTTTTGCTAAAACTTGGTTATAAAAACACAGAATCTTTGCAAGAAAATTATGTTGGTAACAATTTTTACCTTGATTGCAAATTAAAACTCTCCGTTGTATCGTTTTTGAACGACAGTTGGTGGCCACAGAAAATCAGTCCAAGGGCCACAAATGGCCCCCGGACCACAGTTTGGATACCCCTGGTTTAAACACAATTAGAATAAGTAAAATAATTAGCTGAACATAATCTGATATTTATTAAAACGTTGTTTGAAGTTATTTAGATTCTTATTAAATCAGAAAATGGTGAGTTTGGATCCAGCAGCGTCACAAAATCTCCAAACAAACAGAGAAAACTAAAGTTTGTATCATAAAAATCTCCTGAACTTTGACTTTCAGCAGCTTCTGATGGGTCAGTGTGTCCAGTTTTATGTTTCTACTGAGTTTTATGTCGGAGATCTGAGAGCCTTCAACTCCAGTTTGAGGGAAAACGTCACAATTGAAATGTAATGGGAGTTTATGAGACTCTGGGTGTTTCTTTTCACTCTGAGCTGATTTAACAGAAACCTGTAATTCCTACAGCAGAGGGAGAAACTCTGGATGAAACTAGAGAAAAATACCTTTGGTTGAGGCACAAAAGACAGTTTTCCTTCTTTAATTATAAAAAAGAACATATTTCACAATTTAATTAAAATATTTCATGGGGCTGCAGCACATCATGAATTTATACTTTATGATTAAAAACTGATCTGTATCTAATAGATTACTGATAAATACTGTAATGTGTTATTTCTTGTTTTGACATGAAATCACATGCTGATGATGTAGTTAGTGTGCAAATATTCACCTTGTGGCACTTTCAGCACTCCATACATGTCCAGGAATCGGATAGAAGATAAATCAGAACAGAAACAAACTTTGAAGTAGCAGAAAGAAACATTTGAGACCTGAATTTATTAGAAATTTAGTTTTGTTGAAGGAATTTTAATCAATTTTCGAGAAGATGTTTAGCTTTCTTAGTTCATAATAATACAGTGAAAGCAGAACTTGATAACCAGGTGAACATATTGGACATCCGGGTCACCTGCTGGAATGCAGTAGGTGAGTTTAGGGTTAAATACCTGCGGTGGGCGGGGCTTCGGTGGGCTGACAGAAACAACTGCCCGACCTTTGAGACAACAGAAACTGAAGGAACCCAGCATGGCCACAGACTTCACTCAGGACGCGGTTCTGGTTTTCCTGCAGCGCTGCGGCGGTTCGGCCAAAAACACCGAGCTGCTGGCCCACTTCTTGCCCTACCTGCGGGACAATCCGGAGAACGTCGGGAACCGAGATCGCTTCAAGAGTTTCGTCAACTCCGTGGCAACCGTGTCGAAGATCGACGGGGTGTCCACCGTGACCCTCAGGAAGAAGTACAGAGGATATGTTTCCGGTGCAGGTTCGGGCAGAGATTCCGCGGAACCAGGTCCGGTCGGAGCCAGCTTATCTCCGGCGGTAAGCCTCACCCCACCGGGAGACACCGAGAGGAATTCCGCCCTACCTGCGGCTGGGATCGTGGTGGAGAGCGGTACCAGGCTGAACTACAGGGAGAACCCGAGTCCTGAATCCGTCCAGGTAGGAAACCGGGTCCCAGAACTTTCAGAGATTCCTTATCGGAGCAAAACGGAGGAACAGAACAGGCTGGTTACAGCTGTGAGACATCAGGACTACATCCCTGAGCCAATCAGATGGCAGGAAATGCCTCAAGAAAGTTTTGTTCCAGCCCCCACCAGAAGACAGGAAGCCCCCCATCAGGACCGCTTTCCAGAACCGATCAGAGAACAGGACTATGAACCTATTGGAGGACATATTGTCAACCACCAGGACTACACACCCAGACCTCCTGGAAGGCATGAAGTCCCTCAACAGGACTTCCCCCATATGCCCTCTAGGAGAGTGGACAAACAGAGAACAGTTCCTGAACCCGTTAGAGGACACATCGTCGGCCGTCAGGACCATGCCCCAGACCCCGGTGAAAGGTGGGATCCCCCAAATCAGGGAACTGCCTCAGAACCCAATAAAGGACGTATCGTCAGCCGTCAGGACCAATCCCCAGATCCCATCAGAGGACAGAAGACCTTTCATCAGAACCGCGTTGCTGAACCCCTCAGAGGACATGTTGGTAACCGTCAGGACCACTTCCCAGCACCCGTTAGGGGACAGCAGGTCCTTCATCAAAGTCCATTCCCAGCCCCCAACAGAAGAAGGGATGTCCCACATCAGGATCCAAGAGGATATATGATTAGCCGTGTCCCAGAACCAATCGGAGGACAGAATGTGTTTTATCAGGACCCCAGCAGAGATCCCCTGAGAGGTTGGGAGGTCTCTGCCCACCATCCCACACCTCAACCACCAAGAGGACAGCAGAGCTTTTATCAGGTCCCTCAAAATCCAGAACACCTCAGAGGATGGGAGATTCCTTATCAGGATCCCATTCCTGAATACCTCAGTGGACAGCAGGTCTCCCAGAATCCAGAACCTCTCAGGGGACAATGGATTCCTTATCAGGTCCCTCAAAATCCAGAACCTCTGAGGGGACAACGGATTCCTTATCAGGCCCCTCAAAATCCAGAACCTCTCAGGGGACAATGGATTCCTCATCAGGTCCCGCAGATACCAGAACACCTCAGGGGACAGGAGATTGCTTATGAAGACCCTGTCCCAGAAGCCTTCAGAGGACAGAACATCTATTATCAAGATTCCATTCCAGAATACCTCAGTGGACATCAGATTCCCCAAAATATAGAACTTCGTAGGGGACAGCAGGTCCCCCAGAATCTAGAACCTCTGAGGGTACAACGGGTTCCTCAACAGATACCAGAACACCTTAGGCGACAGGAGATTCCTTATGAGGACCCTGTCCCAGAAGCCCAAAACATATTTTATCAGCATCAAATTCCAGAATATCTCAGTGGACATCAGGTCCCACAGAATCGAGAACCTCTTGGGGGACAGCAGATGTCTTATGGCCCTGTTCCAGAACCTATCAGAGGACAGGAAATCTATTTTCTAGACTCCAATCCAGACTTACACAGAGAACAGAAGATTCCTTATCAGGATCCAATACCTGAATACCTCAGTGGACAGCAAATCCCCCAGAATCCAGAACGTCTTTGGACAGCAGGTCCTCCAGAACCTGAGAGAAATCTAGAACCTCTCAGAAGACAGCAGGTCCACCAGAATCTAGAACCTCCTAATGGACAGGAGATACCCCAGAATCCAGAACTATGTAGGGTACATCAGAAGAATCCAGAACTTCTTAAGGGACAGCAGCTCCCCCAGGGTCAAGAACCTCTTAAGGGACAGTGGATCCCAAAGAATCCAGAACTACATAAGGTACACGAGAAAAACCCAGAACCTCTCCAGGGACAGCAGGTATCCCAAAATCTGGAACCTCTTAAAGGACAGCAGGTCCCCCAAAATCTGGAACCTCTTAAAGGACAGCAAGTCCCCCAGAGTCCAGAACTACGTAGGGTACATCAGAATAACCCAGAACCTCTCCAGGGACAACAGATCCCCCAGAGTCAAAAACTTCTTAAGGCCCAGCAGGTCCCCCAAAATCTGGAACCTCTTAAGGGCCAGCAGGTCCCCCAAAATCTAGAACCTCTTAAGGCCCAGCAGGTCCCCCAAAATCTAGAACCCCCCCATGAACACCAAGTCCCTCAAGGTCTAAAACCTCCTAAAGGACAGCAGGTTCCCCAAAATCTGGAACCTCACAAGGGACAGCAGATCTCCCAGAGTCCAGAACTACTTGGGGTTCATCAGAAAAACCTAGAACCTCCTAAGGAACAGCAGATCCCCCAGAATCTAGAACCTCTTAAGGGTCAAAAGGTCCCCAAGAGTCCAGAACTACGTAGGGGTCAGAAAATCTCCTTCCATGATCCCGTTCCTGAATCCCCCAAAGGACAGCAGAGTCCTCCTCAGGACCCAGAACCTGTTGGAGGATATGAACCCGCTCCTCAGCTCCATCAGGCTCCGGTCCGCCGCTTCAGAAACAGGCAGAGCTACAGATCAGCTGTTTCTCAGGATGATGACTACAAAGAGGAGGAGGCTGTCCAGATCAGACGGGGCTCAGCGGGAGGTCCGTGGCCCCTGAATGCCCCTCTCACCGACGTGGCGAGGGCCACATCTGCCTCCTCACCCTGCATCATAGAGTCCCAGGCTCCTCCCTCCTCTTTCTCAGGGAACAAGGTTCCTCAGATCTACATCCAGAACTCGGACGTTGAAGTTCTGGCGTCTCGGTCCCACTCGGAGTCTGAGTCCAGACCAGAACCCGGACCTGTCCCGGTGGAGTCCATGAGACGCAGTCTGCCTCTAGAAGCAGAGTTCAACACCGAACGCCACCATGACAAGCGTGCTGTTCGGACCTCTGAACCAATCAGGCCCCATCAGAACCAGAGGCTGTCGTCCAGTCAGAGCGACATCTTCGACCCGCCGTCAGATGTGAGGTCCTCCGTCAGCGACTGGCCTCCGTCTGGGTCCTCCAGAACCTTCAGAGCAGGTAGAGCAGATTCTTTCTGTTATCCAGACTTTCCTGGGATCTTCTGGATAAATTTAGTGCAAACTTATGCTCTCTATAACAAACATGGCAGCCATTTTGAAAAATATGCACCAGAAAAAGGAAACACAAGATGGAGAAAGTATATATGATCTGTATGATTCAATATTAGAGATTTTAGTGCTAAAATAAATTTTCCATGGCAACCATCTTTAAAAATCAAATTGTCAGTAAATATAATTTCTGTAGTTCCTTGAATGGATAATTTAACACCAGAAATTTAGTTAAAAAACAAACTTTGACGCCATGGTAGCCATTTTGAATTGTTCAAAATGGCTAATGTTTTTACTCAAACAAGCAAAACCCTGGAAACGTCTATACCGATTTATGTGAAAGATTTTCCTGAAATATTCACTGATCTGTTGAACTATTTGTACGTCTTCCAGATGATCCTGCGGTTTCGTCGACGTCGCTGGAGGTTCTGCAGGAGTCCAACAGAACCAAAGTGGAACCTCCGGCCCGTCGGTCCAACCTGAAAATGCCGTTCCATCAGTCGATGGGGAATCTCTGCGACGACCTGCCGTCTCCCAGTCGAAAGTTGCCGTTCTACATGTCCAGCGACCATCTCAATGACAACCAGCAGTACGCGTCCAGAGGATCATCCCTGAATCAGTCCACAGGTTCTGAGTGCCTGTCATTGTTGTCTTCCAGTTTTAATGTGTTTGGCAGTTTAGCATTAGCTTCTTCTACTTTTGTAATCTGTTTGAATGTTTAGCACTAGCAACTAATACTTTTAAAAATGTGTTTAGTGGTTTAGTTTTATTTTCTGATGGGTTTTTCTTATGTTTAGCATAAGCTTCTGCTATATTTTTAATGTATTTAACCATTTAGCGTTATCTTCTGCTAGTTTTTAAATGTGAGCATTAGCTAGCATATTGTTAATGTGTTTAGTGGCTGTTGAAGCTGAAGTTTCCTCTGTGTTGTAGATGAACTCTGTGATGATATGAAGTCGAGCAACAGCTCCATTGACTCGCCTCGTGTGAAGCTCCGCTCGGCGGCGGCTCGGCGGATGAGCAGCCGACTGAGGAACCGGATTTGCCGCAGCTTGGGAACTGACCTGGACCAGGAAGAAGGCGGTGTAGGACTGGAGGACGCCAGACTGGAACGGCTACACCGGATCTCGTCCTCGCTCAGTCTTCCCCACCACCTGTCCTCCTCGTCCCTGTCGTCCTGCACCACGCCACCGCGATGCACCAGCCCCATCACCTCAGAGGGTGGGAGGAAGGAAGCCAAGAAGAGCCTTCACTCTCATAACGCCAGAAAGGTGGGACTAACACTCTGGATATGGGCCCGCTTTAATCCAACTCCAGTACATTTGCCTACAAAGTCCAGTTCAAAACGCTAACCAGCTGAAGTGAAATCTGGTTCAGTTTGAATGCATGTGTGAATGACAAGTGGGCCAGAGACTGCTCCAAAAGCAGGAAGTGGACTACAGAGCAGGGCATTCTGGGTAAATACAACCAAAGCAAACCGTTAGCCTAGCGCTAACTGGAAAAATGTTTTGAGAATTCTTCCAACCACTAAAATCTGATGTCTCTCTGTTTTTATTTCCATTTGGGGAAGAAGGAAGTTCTGCTCTACATCCAGAACCAGAACCAAACGTGGAGAAGCAGCATTCAGCTTCTATGCACCACGAATCTGGAACAAACATCTGAAACACTGAGTTCCTTTAAGTCGAGGCTAAAACCAGCCTGCTTAGAGTTACTTTCATTAATAATAACTGGAACAATGATTGATTCTACAACTTTTCATTACTTTATTTTTCCACTGAAATGTAAAGTTTTTTGTTTATTGTTGTGTCTTTATGGGCCTTGTTGATGCTAACAAACTGGATGCGACTGTCGCCAACAGTCTGCGGTTCCTCTGGAGGCCCTGGAGCACGACTGGATGGTGAAGGCAGCGGCGGGTGCCTGGCCGGACATCTACGCTCTGTTCAGGACCGACTCCTCGCTGCTCAACCGGCAGGACTTCATCTC